TTAGAAAGAAAGAAAGAAAGAAAGAAAGAAAGAAAGAAAGAAAGAAAAAGAAAGAAAGAAAAGAAAGAAAGAAAGAAAGAAAGAAAGAAAGACAGAAAGAAAGAAAAAGGAAAAAGACAGTTTATCTATCGGTTTTCGAAGAGGTCACATACAAGACTAACTTGCTTCTCCACGCCTGAGTTTATATATATATATATATATATATATATATATATATATATATACATATATATATATAAACGCGGTATTGTGGAAAGTGTTCAATATCCGTGATAAAGCTAATATCTGCGTTTGCATGGATAGTAGTTTGTAATCGCAGAAACAGTAACTAAGTTATGGTCAGTATAGTCGTAGTATAAACCGCAGGTGGCCTCTGGGGCGTATGAAGATAGATAGATAGATAGATAGATAGATAGATAGATATGGCAATAGATTTGACGATATTTTATCTGTACGAAGTAATCAAAATAGTAACTACGACTATTTTGCATCCTATTAACCCCGAAAAAAAAACCTGCAGTTATAAAAACACCTATATATATATATATATATATATATATATATATATATATATATATATATATATATATATATATATTCTTTTATGTGTCATGCTCATTCAAGACGTGCGCATTTAAACGTGAAACTGACAGTCACCATGCAGTTTGATTACTATGTCCACGCTGTCTATGTAAACACTTTATCCCCGTTAGTGAGCGCTCTTCCCTTATATATATATATATATATATATATATATATATATATATATATATATATATATATATATGTGTATTGTGTGTGTGTGTGTGTGTGTGTTGAACAAGAAAAAATATTAAAAATTAAAATTGTCAAACACACTGTGTTGTATATTAATATTTTTTGTTTTACTGTTTCATTTAGATTCCTCGACTTGTTTCGGCCAGTATGGCCATCATCAGGAGAAAAAAATCCCTGCTTGTTAGTAGCAGTGAAGTACAGGAGTGAACTTATCTGTAGTTTTCATTTGTTTTTTTTTTTTTGTTTTTTTAACGTTAATTTTGGCCAATCCTTGTGTTGGTCAGACGGCCTCTTTGAAATTGTTTTTTAAGATAGAGAATGGTAGATTCTGACTAAGAATTCCCTCCTTGGTCATTTTATTATATATATATATATATATATATATATATATATATATGTCTGTGTGTGTGTGTGTGTGTGTTGAACAAGAAAAAAATATTAAAATTAAAATTGTCAAACACACTGTGTTGTATATTAATATTTTTGTTTTACTGTTTCATTTAGATTCCTCGACTTGTTTCGGCCAGTATGGCCATCATCAGAAAAAAATCCCTGCTTGTTAGTAGCAGTGAAGTACAGGAGTAAACTTATCTGTAGTTTTCATTTGTTTTTTTTTTTTTTTTAACGTTAATTTTGGCCAATCCTTGTGTTGGTCAGACGGCCTCTTTGAAATTGTTTTTTTAAGATAGAGAATGGTAGATTCCTGACTAAGAATTCCCTCCTTGGTCATTTTTAATATATATATATATATATATATATATATATATATATATATAATCAAATAAATGAATATAAATCAATGTACATACAAAAGTTCATATATATATATATATATATATATATATATATATATATATATATATATATATATATATATATATATATAGCACCATAGTCGAGATTAAGGAGAATCGACAAGACATCTGATGGCGATTCTGAAAGTGGGAAGAATGGAAGCAATATTATGTCAAGCATTTAAGATCCAAAGAAGAGTACGTTGATAAGGACTACAGCTCCATTCTACAAGGTAGCCTTATTTTAAAGTAACTTTAGTTTCTAAGTGAGCATGGCTCTCCACATCTTCCAGACTTTTGTTACTCTAAGTAACTTTTGACCATTTACTATCTTTCTTGATCCTAATTTTGACATTCATCCTGTTTTCATCTGCTTCTCTTTCATTCAGTATGGCCTGTGAGTGTTAACTTATCAAGTCAGTCTTTCCTCGTTAATTGTGTCTCTTTCTGATTGTAAATATAAATTTCCTTGTTGTTCCTGTTTTCCTGAAAACTTCCTCGTTGCTCACATGTTCTGTACATGCTATTCTCAGCATTCGTCGATATAAATGCATCTCAGCCGCTTTAAGTCTCTTCTTTTTTAAGGAAATTGTCCAGCATTCACTGAGAAGTGGCAGATTAATTTCTCTTAAGCCCAAACAAAAAAACGATTGCAGTTTGCCTACCAATGCCACCGAACGGACAAGAAAATCGCTTCATCCATACTCCTATGGCAACCTCCCTGAAGTGTCTCCTCACGAAAATTGACTTTCCCAGACACCATAGCTCGGAACTCAATGTTGGACATTGAGGATCTGGGTACAGCAATGCAAGACCGAACAGTGTGGAAAGGGATTGTCAATGGAGTTCCGATCAACCATAAGGAAGTCGAAGGATGATGATTAGGAGATTAGATAATATATAGCAGTCCTATGTTTCTTTCGTTTTAAACGATATTTCCCTGTGTCTTGATACTTTGCTTCGTTTCTGGAAGATATCTTTCACCATTGTTATGCACCCTCTGGATTCTGTGGCACATTTCCTGTCGTTACTCAGCTAAATTTCTGGAAATTATATTATCGACCTGTTTATACAGCTATAAATGAAAGAAAAACACGATAAACAAAAAAATCGACAATTCAGAACAGATATAAGAAGAATCATTGCTCTTCCAATGAATGAGTATAAATATGAATAAAGTGTGAAGAGACAAGTGGTTGGAAGGGATGGGTAGATAAAAGGCGCCGAACTTGGGTAACGAGTCGGGGTAAAATTCAAGATGGATGACTTGTTCCTCTGTAACTTTTTAAGGATTTTATCATTAAGCGTTTAAGCAGTTGTCGGCAGCAAAGTCATTAACATTTATCCTTCTACAAAGAGATGTGTATACACACGCACACGCATTTTTTAAATGGACGTAAATGATCATAACCCTGTACATTTTTTTTTTTTTTTTGTAAATTATCATGCGTTCTTGGAAACGATATGGTTTCCGTCGTCTTCTCCTTGATTTGAAAATTCATAATTTTCCTTCTCTTAGACTATTTGCTAACTAAGGCTAAAGATTCCAGTCTAACTGTTTAACCCTTAGATGCTGGGTGAAGCAATGTGTTTTTTTCTTTTTCCAAGGTCATTAATGCTAAAATGAATGCAACAAAATGAGTGGGTGTGTAGAATGGAAGTGATATTATGTTAAGCATGTAGGATCCAAACGAGAATACGTTGATAAGGACTACAGCACCATTGTACAAGGTAGCCTAATTTTAAAGTAACTTTGAGCTGTAAGTGAACATGGCTCTCCACATCTTCCAGATTTTTGTTACTCTAAGTAACTTTTGACCATTTACTAACTTTCTTGGTCCCAATTTTGCCATTCATCCTGTCTTCCTCTGCTTCTCATTCGTTCGGTATGGCCTGTGAGTGTTAACGAGTCACTCTTTCCTCATTAACTGTAATTATAAATTTCCTTGTATCTATTTTCCGAAATTTTGACTGCCAAAAAATCTTCTCAGGAATTCCCCTGTTGGTGCCGGAAATCTTAGGTTTTTATGAAATGAAGATCTTTTCGTTTTTGTTTCAGCACTTTTTTAAAAACAAAACTTGAAGCAAGGTGTGTAAAATTGCATATCATTTTAAAGCATATTTATGTTCGTTCTGTGTAAACCATTTTAATATAATCTGCATTTCTGACAAATTTTCGTCAAATTTATTTCCTTAAGTTTAAACGCTGCCGCTGCGCAGTACAAACGTTTAGAAAGATCTAATGAAGTTTGGGAGGAAGGAAGTGTTTGGGAAGTAACAGTGAAACTGATGTGGGTCCAAAGTTGGGGCCACAGAAGTAAAACACAGAACACGGATTAGATGTAAGAAAGATATATTAACAACAGATTACAGAGATAGTGTAAGCGGAGTTTACTATATGTTAGTGTCCAACACTGGTAGTCGTACTAGACTCTCACTGTCACTCTGTATGTCACTGTCTAGTGCTATGTCGCCTACTTAATATAGGCCTGGAAGAGTCTATTGTGTAGGTAGTTTCCGGTCTCACAATACCCCCTTCCAAAGAGTTTTCTTTTTGAAAAGGAGAGAAAAAATAAAACTGTTAAAACTTTTTCCTCTTGGGATTTACGTCGAGCGGTTGAGTAAATTTCCTTTTCCTTCCTGAGCGTCGCACTTCAGGAGAGACTTGGAGAATGTCGAGATCGAACTAAAGATCTTGATGCGTGAGCCACAGCTTTTCGCGAACCATCTGTCAGTTTATGTAAAATGCAAGCACCAATGCCGTACGAGCTTTCATCGCTTGCGACTATGATGTGGAGACTAGGGACGTAATGGGTGAGGGAGAGGTCTGAAATAAGAGTTTTCTTGATCTTCTCGAATGCGTCTTGGCATTCCGGGGTCCATGACCATGGTTTGTCCTTTTTTAAAAGTTGGTTGAAAGGCCCTCTCAAATTTTGCATGTTCTTAATGAACCCTTGGTAAAAATTAGCTAGGCCAAGAAAGCTTTGTAACGCTTGAACGTTATCTGGGGCTGGCATGTTTCTGATCGCGTTGGCTCTTTCAGGATCCGGCCGACGACCGTCTTTATTTATAATGTGCCCTAAGTATTTAATCTCTGGTAAGAAAAAATCACACTTTTCCTCCTTAACCTTAAATCCGTATTCTTGTATCTTTTCGAATACGTTTATTATATGGTTCCGGTGCTCTGCCATAGTTTTACTGGTAACCAGTATATCATCCAAATAGGCTGATGCATAGTCAAGGTCGCCCAGCATGGCGTCCATGACCTACTGGAAAATTGCAGGCGCAACCCTTACTCCAAAAGCCAGCCTGTTGTATTTGTTCAACCCTCTATGCGTGTTTATGGAGAGCAATTTGGAACTTTCTTCTTCCACCTCTATCTGAAGGTATGCGTCCGAGAGGTCAATTTTAGAAAAAAAAATTTTCCACCATTGAGTTTACTGAAAATTTCTTCAGGGCTTGGGAGAGGATAGTGGTGATCTTGCAAGGCATCGTTTAACCCTGTGGAAAAATCTGCACATACTCGTATTTGATTGGACTTCTTTTTTACGTAGTGCTGCCCACTCGCTGAAATCTGTTTTTGACAGAATACCTGCTTGTTCGAGTCTATCTAACTCTTTGTTGATTTGCTCAAGAGCAGCGAAAGGGACATTCCGTTTCTTTTTTAATACCGTTTGTGCACCGTCCTTCACCTTGAACTTAGCTTTCATTTTAGTACATTTCCAAAGGCCGCCAGAAAAAACCTGGGGAAATTGTTGTTTGAGTTCCTTTTTTAGATTTACAAAATCGGACGTTGTACTTTGTATCTTGCGACAAAATGTACTCATTGGGCAATCCCAAGGATTGAATTTTTCTATCCAATCTGTTCCAAATAAGTT